TAATAATAATAATTAACATATAGTTTTAACGTATAATCTTTATAATATATAATAATTTAAGATAATTATTACTATTTATCATTCGTTTACTTCCCAAAACACTATATGTATACAATGTTTTTAATAAGCTAAATAATTGTGGAAAATTTTATATTGTTTATTTTGTTTACTATATTAATTATTTCTAAATTGATTTTGTCTCAAATTTCAAGACAAGACAAGACAATATCAAGACTAGTCTTGATATCTCGTGCAACCCTAAGACAAAGTGTCCGCAGTGTTCTTTTTTGCAAATACACTGTCTGAATTTTCAGACACATTTCAATTTAAAAAAAACTCTTTTGAACTTTCAAAAAAATGACTCTGATGATTAAGATAGAGACAAGACCAATAATCTTGACAATGTTAGTCTTGGTATTGTCTTGATAACTGATTAAAAATCTTGTCTTGATTTTGCCTGAAATTTTTTTCAGACACTCAGATCTGAAAATTCATAAAAATATGTATGAATTTTTAGAAAATTTTTTACAGTGCCCGTTTTCTCGTCAGAGTTGTGCGGAACGATCGGGTAACTGTGCAAATAACTGCTGGATCGTTTGAGGAGGGCTCCGAGAGTCGATCGACCCGTCTTTTCCGTGAATCTGATCGTTCCGTCCTTGTGCGGGTATACATCGAGATATATAAACGAGCTCGAAGCCGCGAGTGGAGTCGCTTGAGTTATGACTGCGACCATTACTTGGGACAAACGAGGCTAAGCGTGTCGACACGGAGCCGAGCAGGCAGCAGGTCTCGTCGATTCTCCCAAGTCATTCCGCGACTTACAAGAATTACGAGAGCTCCCTCGATCTCTCTCTTTCTTACTCGAATCGCGAACCTTTATCGAGTGCTCGCAGCTCCCGATTGACAGTTTTAAGGCCCCGTCGTTGAACGTTGGTATCGGCTCTCGTTATCCAGGACGCGAATTCCGCATAGACACTTTATGTATTTCCTACGTTCGCCGCGAGCAAATATACGATATCGCGAGCAGAATAGCGATACCTTGTAACCTACATTTTCCAATTATTTATGTTACGAGGTTTTTGCGATATGCAGCTGCTCCCGCTACAGCGCTGATGGTATTTCAAAAGCATAGATGGCTAGAGTACGACGGGATGAAATATGACGAGAAAGAAAGCTTATGGCAGTGCGTTGAAGAGCACATTGATACTTCTCTATAAAAGACTTCATTTTCAGTAAAGTTATAAACATAAATACAGAAAATAGAGTAAAATAGAAAAATAGATCTCTAGAAGGTTAACTAATGCAAATAGCAGGTATTTTTATGAGCACTCAAAAACAATAATATATCTCTTTAATTAATCATGGTATTTTTAAGGCTAAATAAACGTATCGTTAATCTACGTTAATTTAATCATGTAATAACATCAAATCGCAAAAAAGATGGAAGTTAATGTCGTCTTACGTTTTGATGAATCGATCTGATCGTAAAGCACTGATGGATATCCATACGCGTCATTGAGATATCGATTTAATGCAGAAATATCAGCGATCGGGCAAGCTTACACAATAAGCGTAATAACGGCTTCGTTCAGAAAAGCTCACGTTCCCCGATGCCATTTCGTCATTAGTCTCGTCTTAGCTCGAGCACGGCTCGTAACCGCCATGGGTTGTTACTTACTTCGTCCTGAGAACAAAAAAGAAAAAACACACCGATTAAAACTCCTGTCCGTATGTACAACTTCATTAAATACATTTTGTCATTTATTCATTCGAGAGTCTTTTTTGCACAAGTTATTGGATATTGTTAATGCAAATATAGATGGTAGATATCGATATATATATATATTGTATTAAAGCTAAGAAATTTTTTTTAAACTTAAAAATATAATCTGGAATAACAAAAATGCATTAAAGTTTCAATTTTATTTTATTAAATTAATATTTACATAAATGTAAATTATAGGATTTTTTGTTTGCTTGAAATATTATGTTTCGTTCGTGTTACATGCACAATTTGCATTTCATTTCAATTAGATTTCCCACGAGATCTTTGTTAACGTGTTTCGATTAATATCTATAAAATCATATGAAAAGTGTAAGTATACCAGTTTGTCTGTGGCTATATCCATAACTATAAATAATGATCACTCGTCGATCGTTAGTCGAGCATTTACGTTTCCACGGGTCATTAACTCGTTTCCATTAAGGCGTGGCCTTGCCTGTCTCTTTTTTTTATCGCCTTCTTTTCGTCCATTTTCTTCGCGTACTTTTACGTTTAAGTTCGATTACCATTCGATTTTAGACAAACGGAGTATGTATTTTATAGCAATCAAATCCTCTAAATACAATAGATATTTTTAAAATGATGTATAAAATATGGTCGCGAATTTCTGTGCGCAAAGAAATATTTTCTGGCACAATTATTATCATTAGATCATTCTAATAAAATAATGATATATATTTTATGAGAAATATAACATTCAAAGTACTGATTGCTTGAAAAGGATGGATGACGCTGAGGTCCCAAAATATCGCTTTTTTTTACATATGTAAAATTGATTTTCTTTCATATTTTAGTAAATATAGAAAATATGGAGTCTTAAGAAATATAAAAATATTTTTTTATTTGAATAACCATCCATTAAAAACTAGACCCTGAACTTAGACCTAATCGTCAAAAATCACGAAAAATCATATCTTTTTAGCATTCGGTTGCAATTTTTTCATAGAACGCATTCGTGTACCACAAAGATTTTTACACATATAGTGTAAACATATATAATGATTACATAAAACACACACATACATAAAATTGTTAGTAACACCGCAATACGCAGGTAATAAAAAATAAATTTTAACAAATCTATCATACACAGTACAAGATACGGTCTGTTTTGTTTTTGTTGCGAGTGTTATTTGAAGAGATAAGCTATCTTATTTATTTGAATATGTCATTATTTATTTCTTTTATTGATATTCTTGTATCAACAATATTCCACTAGTGTAGTCTTGTTTAAGTAGTTATTAAAAGACAGAAAATATTTAAATTATGCTTTTGTATTAACGTATAAATAAAGTAAATATTTTAATACAACTTATACATTTATTAATGTTACTAATAATATTATCAATTTATAACAAAAATAAAACAAAAACAACTGAGATCGATTGAGGCCCTTATCGCCATCCATCCTTTAATTTTTGAAATATACATTTAAACAAAAATTATTTCTTTGCATTTATAGAAATTAAGATTTTAAATATAACAAGGCTGAGAAATATGCATTTATAAAATTTGCAACAGAAATTTGAATACGGAAGAATCTTTTTCTTTGAATTCTCTCGCATAATAAACATCAAAAGTTACGAGCAAAAGACATTTGCAAGCAATACATATTTCGAAGAGACGATTAATGGCTTCATTGCTACACCCTCGATGCAAAAGTACCGGTTCTGCCAACGAGACCGCCTCTTTCTTATCCGCCACGTCGTTTATATATCCCGATCTTTCTCTCTCTGACTTTGTTACCGATTTTCGGATAAAGTTCCGAATAGGTAAACCCTCCGATTTTTTTGAAACTACACTATTTTTTGTATTTATTTTTACAAGAACTACAACTTTTATTTGACACATTTTTTTCTTACATCAATATTTATCGAAATAATATTTAAAAAGTTATATTTTTTCAGTTTTTTTGTTTTGACCTTGAAAATGACCTTGTCGCAAATTTTCATTATCATATTCGTAATCAGCGTTCAAAAATACAAAAAATAGTGTAGTTTCAAAAAAATCGGAGGGTTCACCTATTCGGAACTCCACCCCGATTTTCTTTGCAAAACATCAATTAAAAATATATTTTAAGCCACGCATTCTTTAATCGCCGACTGCGATTGATTTGTCATTTCTAATAAATCTACAAGTTGTACTGATATTTAGAAATAGAATCATATCAAAATGTGTATTTCATTATCATGTATGTATTTCATTATGTATCATGTTTTCATGATTACAATTTATTGAGTCGTCCTACGAGAAAAATTTATGTTTCGCGGATCATAAAGCATAAAGCGTTTAGAAAGCATTGATTCGTACTAGATCCAACTGCTAACATGGCAAGGCAGGAACTATAATCCCTCAACGTCTTTTGCCATTTAGTTTTCATGTAACCTCGATGTTATCTCGGGAGGAAAGTCACTTCGTAAGGATCACTGCGCTCCGACGAGCAGTCACGATCGTTACATTGCTACACGGCATCGTGTCTTATTGTACGTTGTAGGCGTTTGACCGGTACTAGGAGATCTTTATCGTTTCGTCTTATTATGATTATGTTATATGAGGATTACTCCGATCTCCTATCCCCCTCCCCCCTTCCTCTTCCACCTATTGAAGCGATATACATCAAGGCCCACGTTATCGCGGAGATAAGCGTGCAATGTTTCACGGATTAGTGTTACCAACGAAATAATTCACCTGGCGCGATTATTGGCAACATTGTTTGTCATATGGTGGAAAAACTTGATATGCGCTCTCTCGCGCGCACCGTTATTAATTATTACATTGCGCGGATCGAGTTATCGCGCAAATCATCGATTGTCAAGGCGATTCAAATCTACCTTGTCTTTCGGGGTGGAAATACGAGAAGAAAAGCACGTGCGCGCAAAACTCCGGTAGCTGATCCGTGTCCTCGAGTAGCTGTAACGCTTTTAACGCGCTGGTGATTATAAAAGTGAGTTGTAGAAACTCGACACAGCGAAGGATATTTACTAAATATAAGATCGTGTACTGATTATACAGAGAATTATATTATAATAATTTGCAAAGTTTAAATAGAAATATCTCTCAGAAAAAAATTTTATAAGCAATCGCGATGTTTTAATTTATATAACTTTTTTTAGAATTTAATAAAATACGCGTTTCTTCCGATTTCGGCTGGAAATAAATAATATTGAATAAAATATTACGTAAAATATGCAATACTGATCGCTGCAATAATACTAACAATAAGTATTAAGATGGTAGTTTTTTATTTAAAGATGTTTTGGCTGTACACAATAGTAGCAAAAAACTGTCAAAATTTAAAAAAAAAAAAACATATTTCTTACGTTTATATTGTTTGAAAAATCAAACAAATCCGGATTATAAAAAGAATTAAAATATCACAAAATAATATAGTTTTTAACGTCTTCGTAAAAGAAAATAGTTGTAATTAATATTTTTCCTAATTTATGACAAAAACTTTTGATCGTGAATACCCCCTGAAATCAACTATTAGAGTTTTCTTAATGTATTTTCTATATGTAAAAATTTTTATTTTCATGTTTTTGTCAATGTTTTGACATATGATACATACATCCTTAAACTGCCGTTTTTCACATACACAGCTCTCATTATTATAAATCCTTAGGACGATTAATATGCACACAAATCATAGAGAAAAATGGAGCAAATGGAGCAAACATTGCGAAAAGGAAAGCATGTATAAAACTTGTGAAACATGACAAGTAAATAGATTTATCTCGATACGCCTGATTTGCGTTTGAAGTCTACCTTATGATTACCGATTTATCGGTTATCAGCTTGCAGGAAAATTAATAACATTTTCATTAGGATTATAATTTCGTGCTAAATAACGACGCCTTCTATTCCCGGTAAAGATATTCCAGACACCGACGTGATGACGATTAATCGAATTAAAAGCGAAAAGCAATGTAAAGATTCGGGCTGATTTGCAATTGACGCAACGCCTATTGTTAGATATCATTAATCAATGAATTCGAGGTGTTGTGCAAGAGAAGCGTTTATTTCGAACCACCATTACAGACGGCAATTACGGGCTCTCTTCGTACCAAACGACGTATAATTGTCCATCTCTCGCCGCGCTATCGGAATGTCTCTTTCCCACGATAATGTAAACGCGCCGGCGTTTTCACGCGAACTGCTCAGACTTCGCGGGCTGCGACTGGCATGAAGATGCAAGCGCATGTGTAGCGTGCGTACAACGTATTTAACGACCGGTTGGCTCCCACTCGCCGAGTCTGAAGATACACATCTCCTAATCGGATCCGCGCTAACGCGCGATCGCTCGCGATCATTCGCGATCGCGTAAAAGCCACGCGGGAGTCGCGAGATTTAAACCGGCGAGAAAATCGACGTCAATCGCGTCTTCACGCAACGCGTCTCAATGCAAGATATTTTCGTCACTTGAAGTTTTGACATTGCATATATAATCCCTATCTCATAACAGTTAATATTATCTTCAGAAATCTCTTAACTTTCTAAAATTACGAATATACGTAAAATAAAATTAAAAAAAAAAAAAATAAAATAAATTTCGGATATAAATAAATAAAATATTTATCGTTCCATTACAATAGATTTTTTGATTCATTATATTATTATTTATTATTTTGTTACATCTCTACATTAAATAAAGACAAGGGATGTTAAGGCCGAGATGTAACTCGTCTTGCTCGCGGCTTCCTTCTGATAAAGGCTGCGCATTTCCGTGTGCGTTTTCTTTTTTTTTGCATATTCTCTTCCGTATTATTTATCCGCGCGTGCAGTCTGTTCCAACCGTATTTTCAAATGCATGACATTATCGTGCCTCGTTGAACGCGTTGAGATATAAGGGTAAGGAGTGCTATGTGTGATTGCTTGTGCTACCATAAATTATATTCCCCCTG